ATAACCTGACCCCCACAGCGGGGGGCTCCGCGCCTTCCCCTTCTCAGGGCGTTCTCAGGGCCGGCTCAGGGCTTCTGAGGGCTTCTCAGGGTTTCTCAGGGCCTTCTCAGGGCTTCTCAGGGCTTCTCAGGGCCTTCTCAGGGCCTTCTCAGGGCTTCTCAGGGCTGCCTGGGGTGGTGCTCCTGCTGGGGGAGTGTCCCCGGCCACTCCTGGTAGACTGGGAGACTACCACATCCGGCCGGTGAGAGTTGGGAGCCAGAATTTTAAAATAATTAAATCCCATGAAAGTTATCATGACATTTAATGTCACCGAAGATTTTGTCTACATGGAAAGTTTTCGCTTGTCAATGAAATTTTGCAAGGGAGGAAATTGATGCATTTGCATCAATTGTGGTTAGTTGCGAGTGTACTGGTGAGTAATACTCGGTGTTGATCAATTAAATTGTTCTTTTGAAATGATTTTAAAACAGATATATTTAAAAAGACTGTTTTTTGGTCGTAATTTTTACTGAACTTGGCAACGATTGATTTAAATGTTGCTCTTCTTTTTTTTCTTCTTTGATTGATGCAGGTGATGTTGCCTGTTCTTCTTGTTTTTTATTGATTTATCGTTGTTTGTAATGTTTGAGTAGAGTTTAGCGATTGTTTAGTGATATCCTTATAGTTTGTCAGTCACCGGACCTTTCTTCTGTTTTATATATATATATATATATATATATATATATATATATATATATATATATATATATATATATATATATATATATATAAAGAGTTGATACATTCTTGTAGAGCCACTAGCACGCGTAGCGTTTCGGGGAAGTCCTTAATCCTCATGGTCCCTGGAATACGACCCTGCGAAGAATCGTTTAACAACCAGGTAGCCATTCACTGCTGGGTGAACAGAGGCTACAGTTGAGGACTGGCGCCAAGTCAATCCCCCCCGGCCAGGATACGAACCCAGGCCAACGCGCTAGCGAAATGCCAGGCGAGTGTGTTACCACTTCGCCACGGGGACTGCTAAGTAAGTTACGTTAAGTAAGGCAAACAAATTTAACTAAAACTAGTAAAGTTAACTTTATTCAACAACAAAACCACCAGACTGTCACCAGGCGCAACAGGAACACGATTAAGAAGCTAGAAACGCCGCCATAAATCACATAGGCCTATATAAAGAGCAGAATTCTTACTGTTTCTCAGCGTTTAATGCCTCTACGGTGTGGCCCCCTCTCTCTACTCCCACTCCAAAAAAACCCGGCCTACTTTACTCCTCAAGAACTGCCCGCAAATACTTTATGAATCGCCGAGTCGGAAAGCACTGGAGTGATGAGAGTAAAAAACACGGGTGAAGGATAGCACTGCTCGAGGTCGTAAATATTGAAGATTGAGTTGTCCGTGAAACTTGAAAATGTCCTCTGGCCAAGTCGTCCTTTACGGCAAGAAACATCAGATATATTCCAGTCAGTCCATCGATAAATTGACTGCAACTGCTATTTGTCCGGTGGATATATCTATCCAAGCAAGTGTTCGTCAGGGGGTGGCAAGAGGACGCAGATATCCACACAGATATCCATCAGACGTGTAGATACATACATCGCTGGTCTGCCTTCTGCGTCAAACAGCAGACATTGCAAATCGATGTATCAGTGACGGATCACGACAAGAAGGAAAGGAATTATCAAAGGGAAAAGCACCAAGCCATTACTATATAGCACTTGGAAGGGGTCAGGATAAGGATTTGCGACGGGACGGCGGAACGGAATGGTGCCCAACTACTTGGGACGGTCGGAGGATTGACCGCCGACCTGCATGAAGCGAGGCCGTCGCTCTACCGTCCAGCCCAAGTGGTTGGACACGACAAGAGCTCTCCAGCATTCAAGAGATACATAGATACATGTCTCCGTCGTCCTCTGCAGGGAGGGAGAGGCTCTTGTGTCCACCAGTAACTCTTAGTGGTCACTGTGTCTGTGACACGCCTCGGACCCGGGTAACGGGTAAGGAAGCCGGTCAGCACGCTGGACTTGTGATCCTGTGGTCCCGGGTTCGATCCCAGGCGCCGGAGAGAAACAATGGGCAGAGTTTCTTTTATCCTATGCCCCTGTTACCTAGCAGTAAAATAGGTACCTGGGTGTTAGTCAGCTATCACGGGCTGCTTCCTGGGGGTGGAGGCCTGATCGAGGACCGGGCCGCGGGGACACTAAAGCCTCGAAATCATCTCAAGATAACCTCAAGATGGCGCGACCTTACTCATAGCTGGACCATAGTTGGGGTTTCTCCTTGAGAAGAAGACCAAGCTCCTTGAGAAGAAGACCAAGCTCCTTGAGAAGAAGACCAAGCTCCTTGAGAAGAAGACCAAGCTCCTTGAGAAGAAGACCAAGCTCCTTGAGAAGAAGACCAAGCTCCTTGAGAAGAAGACCAAGCTCCTTGAGAAGAAGACCAAGCTCCTTGAGAAGAAGACCAAGCTCCTTGAGAAGAAGACCAAGCTCCTTCAGAAAGAAACCTTAAGCTCCTCGAGAAGAAGCTAATTGTGAGACCAAGCTCTCACAAGTCAAGCCTGGCCCCTAGGCTGGACTTGGAGAGTAGAAGAACTCTCAGAACCCCATCCAGGTACATTCCAGGTACAAATGCGTCCCAGATGACGTCCAGCGTCGCTGACATACATGCAGAGACTGTTCCAAGGGGACACGCGACCGAGGCCAGCCACCGGGACCCCCTGTCAACTTGACTAGGGGGCAAGTCAGTGCTTGACCGTCTGTCTCAATCACCAGCCATCACGCAATCCATGATCACGACGCTGGTGACCGAGCTCAGTAGCTCTAGGGACCACTGTCGACGCAGGTGACCGGACACAGGAGCCCCAGGGACCACTGTCGACGCTGGTGACCGGACACAGGAGCCCTAGGGACCACTGTCGATGCTGGTGACCGAGCACAGTAGCTCTAGGGACCACTGTCGACGCTAGTGACCGGACACAGGAGCCCCAGGGACCACTGTCGACGCTGGTGACCGGACACAGGAGCCCCAGGGACCACTGTCGACGCTGGTGACCGGACACAGGAGCCCTAGGGACCACTGTCGACGCTGGTGACCGAGCACAGGAGCCCTAGGGACCACTGTCGACGCTGGTGACCGGACACAGGAGCCCCAGGGACCACTGTCGACGCTGGTGACCGGACACAGGAGCCCTAGGGACCACTGTCGACGCTGGTGACCGAGCACAGGAGCCCTAAGGACCATTGTCGACGCTGGTGACCGGACACAGGAGCCCCAGGGACCACTGTCGACGCTGGTGACCGAGCACAGGAGCCAGGGACCACTGTCGACCGGACACAGTAGCCATAGGGACCACTGTCGACGCTGGTGACCGGACACAGGAGCCCCAGGGACCACTGTCGATGCTGGTGACCGGACACGGGAGCCCTAGGGACCACTGTTGACGCTGGTGACCGGACACAGGAGCCCCAGGGACCACTGTTGACGCTGGTGACCGAGCACAGGAGCCAGGGACCACTGTCGACGCTGGTGACCGGACACAGGCGCCCAAGGGACCACTGTTGACGCTGGTGACCGGACACAGGCGCCCAAGGGACCACTGTCGACGCTGGTGACCGGACACAGTAGCCCTAGAGACCACTGTCGACGCTGGTGACCGGACACAGGCGCCCAAGGGACCACTGTCGACGCTGGTGACCGGACACAGGCGCCCTAGGGACCACTGTTGACGCTGGTGACCGGGCACAGGAGCCCCAGGGACCACTGTCGGCGCTGGTGACCGGACACAGGCGCCCTAGGGACCACTGTCGACGCTGGTGACCGGGCACAGGAGCCCTAGGGACCACTGTCGACTCTGGTGACCGGGCACAGGAGCCCTAGGGACCACTGTCGACGCTGGTGACCGGACACAGGAGCCCTAGGGACCACTGTCGACGCTGGTGACCGGACACAGGAGCCCTAGGGACCACTGTCGACGCTGGTGACCGGGCACAGGAGCCCTAGGGACCACTGTCGACGCTGGTGACCGGACACAGGCGCCCTAGGGACCACTGTCGACGCTGGTGACCGGGCACAGGAGCCCTAGGGACCACTATCGACGCTGGTGACCGGGCACAGGAGCCTTAGGGACCACTGTCGGCGCTGGTGACCGGACACAGGCGCCCTAGGGACCACTGTCGACGCTGGTGACCGGGCACAGGAGTCCTAGGGACCACTGTCGACGCTGGTGACCGGACACAGGAGTCAGGGACCACTGTCGACACTGTTGGAAGAAGCACTTGGAAGAAATCAGGATAAGGATTTGGGATGGGACGGAGAGAAGGAATGGCGAGCCAGCCACTTGGACGGTCAGGGATTGAACGCCGACCTGCGTGAGAGGAGACCGCCGTTCTACCGTCCATTCCAAGTGGTGGAGTGGCTTCCACAATTTCTAATATATTCCAAGTGTTGACCACTTGTACGGGGTATGAGTATTTCCTTACATTTCTCTGACTCGTGTGTGTGCTCCCAGCTTCCACCTGTGTCTTCTAGTCCTATTATCTCTCAATTTAAAGAGTCTATCCCCCCATCCACCTTGTCTATTGCCTTCAGTAGCTTGTATGTTGTGATCATACCTCCTCTGTTTCTACAGTCCTTTAGAGTCGTGAGATCCAGTTTATTCAACTTTTCCTCATAAGTTAACCATCTTAGCTCTGGGACTAATCTAGTCGCAAACCTCAGCACTTCTTCACTTTTAGCTGTGTGCTACACAGGTTACAGCAGGACTGGCTTTCACATTTAATCCAAGTGCCCAACCGCTTTGACTGATCCGTAGAGCGACACCCTTGCTTCTAGGTTCCATCCCCCCCGATGGTCTAAGTGGGTTGGCACCGTCCCCCTTCCTTCGTCCCTTCCGCTTATCCCACATCCTTGTGGTCATTTTCCTATCCAGGTGTTATGTTGTCATGTTTGCTTAAAGACTACATCGCTAAGCCACACGACGTTCCAAGCGCTGATATATACTTCAACTAATACCGGGTTGAGCTGGTGATCTGTGTGGGGTTGTATACTGTGGCGGGGGCCCAGCGCCAGGACCCTACTGGTGGAGGCGGCCGGGGGCCCAGCGCCAGGACCCTACTGGTGGAGGCGGCCGGGCCCAGCGCCAGGACCCTACTGGTGGAGGCGGCCGGGGGCAGCGCCAGGACCCTACTGGTGGAGGCGGCCGGGGCCAGCGCCAGGACCCTACTGGTGGAGGCGGCCGGGGGCAGCGCCAGGACCCTACTGGTGGAGGCGGCCGGGGCCAGCGCCAGGACCCTACTGGTGGAGGCGGCCGGGGCCAGCGCCAGGACCCTACTGGTGGAGGCGGCCGGGGGCAGCGCCAGGACCCTACTGGTGGAGGCGGCCGGGGCCAGCGCCAGGACCCTACTGGTGGAGGCGGCCGGGGGCAGCGCCAGGACCCTACTGGTGGAGGCGGCCGGGGCCAGCGCCAGGACCCTACTGGTGGAGGCGGCCGGGGCCAGTGCCAGGACCCTACTGGTGGAGGCGGCCGGGGCCAGCGCCAGGACCCTACTGGTGGAGGCGGCCGGGGGCAGCGCCAGGACCCTACTGGTGGAGGCGGCCGGGGCCAGCGCCAGGACCCTACTGGTGGAGGCGGCCGGGGGCAGCGCCAGGACCCTACTGGTGGAGGCGGCCGGGGGCAGCGCCAGGACCCTACTGGTGGAGGCGGCCGGGGGCCCAGCGCCAGGACCCTACTGGTGGAGGCGGCCGGGGCCAGCGCCAGGACCCTACTGGTGGAGGCGGCCGGGGCCAGCGCCAGGACCCTACTGGTGGAGGCGGCCGGGGCCAGCGCCAGGACCCTACTGGTGGAGGCGGCCGGGGCCAGCGCCAGGACCCTACTGGTGGAGACGGCCGGGGGCAGCGCCAGGACCCTACTGGTGGAGGCGGCCGGGGCCAGTGCCAGGACCCTACTGGTGGAGGCGGCCGGGGGCAGCGCCAGGACCCTACTGGAGGAGGCGGCCGGGGGCAGCGCCAGGACCCTACTGGTGGAGGCGGCCGGGGCCAGCGCCAGGACCCTACTGGTGGAGGCGGCCGGGGGCAGTGCCAGGACCCTACTGGTGGAGGCGGCCGGGGGCAGCGCCAGGACCCTACTGGTGGAGGCGGCCGGGGCCAGCGCCAGGACCCTACTGGTGGAGACGGCCGGGGGCCCAGCGCCAGGACCCTACTGGTGGAGGCGGCCGGGGCCAGCGCCAGGACCCTACTGGTGGAGGCGGCCGGGGCCAGTGCCAGGACCCTACTGGTGGAGGCGGCCGGGGGCAGTGCCAGGACCCTACTGGTGGAGGCGGCCGGGGGCAGCGCCAGGACCCTACTGGTGGAGGCGGCCGGGGGCAGCGCCAGGACCCTACTGGTGGAGGCGGCCGGGGCCAGCGCCAGGACCCTACTGGTGGAGGCGGCCGGGGCCAGCGCCAGGACCCTACTGGTGGAGGCGGCCGGGGGCAGCGCCAGGACCCTACTGGTGGAGGCGGCCGGGGGCCAGCGCCAGGACCCTACTGGTGGAGGCGGCCGGGGGCAGCGCCAGGACCCTACTGGTGGAGGCGGCCGGGGGCAGCGCCAGGACCCTACTGGTGGAGGCGGCCGGGGGCAGCGCCAGGACCCTACTGGTGGAGGCGGCCGGGGGCAGCGCCAGGACCCTACTGGTGGAGGCGGCCGGGGGCAGCGCCAGGACCCTACTGGTGGAGGCGGCCGGGGGCAGCGCCAGGACCCTACTGGTGGAGGCGGCCGGGGCCAGCGCCAGGACCCTACTGGTGGAGGCGGCCGGGGCCAGCGCCAGGACCCTACTGGTGGAGGCGGCCGGGGCCAGCGCCAGGACCCTACTGGTGGAGGCGGCCGGGGGCAGCGCCAGGACCCTACTGGTGGAGGCGGCCGGGGGCAGCGCCAGGACCCTACTGGTGGAGGCGGCCGGGGGCAGCGCCAGGACCCTACTGGTGGAGGCGGCCGGGGGCCAGCGCCAGGACCCTACTGGTGGAGGCGGCCGGGGGCAGCGCCAGGACCCTACTGGTGGAGGCGGCCGGGGCCAGCGCCAGGACCCTACTGGTGGAGGCGGCCGGGGCCAGCGCCAGGACCCTACTGGTGGAGGCGGCCGGGGGCAGCGCCAGGACCCTACTGGTGGAGGCGGCCGGGGCCAGCGCCAGGACCCTACTGGTGGAGGCGGCCGGGGCCAGCGCCAGGACCCTACTGGTGGAGGCGGCCGGGGGCAGCGCCAGGACCCTACTGGTGGAGGCGGCCGGGGGCAGCGCCAGGACCCTACTGGTGGAGGCGGCCGGGGGCAGCGCCAGGACCCTACTGGTGGAGGCGGCCGGGGGCAGCGCCAGGACCCTACTGGTGGAGGCGGCCGGGGCCAGCGCCAGGACCCTACTGGTGGAGGCGGCCGGGGGCAGCGCCAGGACCCTACTGGTGGAGGCGGCCGGGGGCAGCGCCAGGACCCTACTGGTGGAGGCGGCCGGGGCCAGCGCCAGGACCCTACTGGTGGAGGCGGCCGGGGCCAGCGCCAGGACCCTACTGGTGGAGGCGGCCGGGGCCAGCGCCAGGACCCTACTGGTGGAGGCGGCCGGGGCCAGCGCCAGGACCCTACTGGTGGAGGCGGCCGGGGCCAGCGCCAGGACCCTACTGGTGGAGGCGGCCGGGGCAGCGCCAGGACCCTACTGGTGGAGGCGGCCGGGGGCAGCGCCAGGACCCTACTGGTGGAGGCGGCCGGGGGCAGCGCCAGGACCCTACTGGTGGAGGCGGCCGGGGGCAGCGCCAGGACCCTACTGGTGGAGGCGGCCGGGGCCAGCGCCAGGACCCTACTGGTGGAGGCGGCCGGGGGCAGCGCCAGGACCCTACTGGTGGAGGCGGCCGGGGGCAGCGCCAGGACCCTACTGGTGGAGGCGGCCGGGGCCAGCGCCAGGACCCTACTGGTGGAGGCGGCCGGGGGCAGCGCCAGGACCCTACTGGTGGAGGCGGCCGGGGGCAGCGCCAGGACCCTACTGGTGGAGGCGGCCGGGGGCAGTATCGGCCGTGGTGGCCACATTGTTGGCAGACAGTCAAGAATTTACACAAACATTGGAGCGACGTCGGCGGCGGCAGCGGCGAAGGCCTGGGGGGGGGGGGTCTTGGGGGGAGAGGTGGCTGCTGTATTCAATAATTCTCCGCGCGCCACCACACAGCTGCGACTCCCCATGCATTCAAAAGTCTTGATGAAACTCTTTAATACATCTGGGTGACTCTCTCTGTCTCTGTCTCTGTCTCTCTCTCTCTCTCTCTCTCTCTCTCTCTCTCTCTCTCTCTCTCTCTCTCTCTCTCTCTCTCTCTCTCTCTCTCTCTCTCTCTCTCTCTCTCTCTCTCACTCTCTCTCATTAGATCTTTAGCGAAACTGCAAGCAAGAGCTGTTGTCTTGCATCAGCTCATCTAAAGCCTGTCTCTCTCCACTATGGAACTCTCAACAATCGTCTAACTCACCGGTGTAAGGAAACGTTCCCAACTGTTTCTGTCCTTCCTGGGGGACAGAACTGGGGGGGGGGTCCCTCGATTGTGAGTTGAATACGCAACCCACTCGTCCGGTCATTCCATTGTCCTGCTGCTCTTAGGCTGCAGGAGTATGTCATCACAGTTCAGTGGTTCACCTGTGTAGGAAGCTTTCGCCAGTGACTTTTATTTGATGGGATATTTGTCACACTCGTGTTCCAGTGCTACAGCTGAGCTCTGTCAACGTCGTGAAAGAGAAAACATGCCTTCCCTTGAACCGGACGAACCGAACCTTCCTCTTGAACATTATATTGTAGACTGTCCCATACTGACTGACTTTCATGCTTGGGCGCCTGACAGCTAGGGGTGGAGAGCGCTTCGGATTCCTAGTCCTGAGGTTCCGGGTTCGATCCCCGGTGGAGGCGAAGACAAATGGGTAGAGTTTCTTCCACCCCTGATGCTCCTGTTACCTAGCAGTAAATAGGTACCTGGGAGTTAGACAGCTGCTACGGGCTGCTACCTGGGTATGTGTGTGTGTAACAAACAGAAGGCCAAGTCGAGGACCGGGCCGCGGGGACGCTAAGCCTCGAAATCATCTCAAGATAACCTCAAGATAATGGGAGTGCATGTGGTCAGCCACTCTGACTCGCAGGATGGTGGAAGAGATGATGTGACATGTGTTCCTCTCCTCCACACACAAGGAAGAGAGGACTCACCAAGGGGGTGAGGATCATGACAGCAAGATCTGTTGCCTGTGCTGGGTTTGATGGTCCACTACACTCTCTTCTATCAAGGGGGCGATGGGATAGAGAGTATTTCGCTTTTGATTTGATGTTCTTTTGAGGTGGACGAGCATAAAGTGGTTGACATCACTGGTGCGTTAAGAATAGAGCTATCCACTAATGAGCGTGGTCACGGATATCACAAGATAGCGCATACCAATCAAATATATACCACACACACATATACGTGACATGGAATGTTTAATGCCACATATGGTAAGGACCATATACTCACTGGGATCCAATTTGACCAACATCCGGTATGATGTACTCATTGTAACATCCGGTATGATGTACTCATTGTAACATCCCGTATGATGTACTCATTGTAACATCCCGTATGATGTACTTATTGTAACATCCCGTATGATGTACTCATTGTAACATCCCGTATGATGTACTCATTGTAACATCCGGTATGATGTACTTACTGCAACATGAACAAACAAAAGTTGTTAATAGATGGAATGCATTAGGCAGTGATGTGGTGGAGGCTGACTCCATACACAGTTTCAAATGTAAATATGATAGAGCCCAATAGGCTCAGGAATCTGTACACCAGTTGATTAACGGTTGAGAGGCGGGACTAAAAGAGCCAGAGCTCAACCCCGTAAGCACAAATAGATGAGTACAGTTGTGAAGCACAAAGCTTTGTTGTACTTAACGTTCGGAGCCTTAAAATGATTGACAAGACTTTCTTGATTGACAAGAATGAATGACAAGAATTACAAGATTGACAAGAATCATTTTCAAAGACATGAGTTGACTCGCCCTGACACTGAGAACCTTACAGTGTAATGCTGAAGTCGCTGGAAGCTTCTCCTGGCGTGATATGTCAACTTCTGATGATCAAATAAGGAGCCCAGAAGATGGAGAGGTTTCGGACCGTCCTGGACCGTTATCAAGTGGTCTGGACTTGAGACGAACTTGTGTTCGTCTCCTGGTGGGAAAAGACGCAAGTTGACGGTCGTTAGTTACGTCACCATCTGTCCTCTACGTCACGGCATTGCGTCGTTAGTTTCACCACCTGTCTTCTACGTCACGGCATTGTGTCACTACCTGCGTCACCACCTGTCCTCTACGTCACGGCATTGTGCCGCTACCTGCGTCACCACCTGTCTTCTACGTCACGGCATTGTGTCACTAGCTACGTCACGGCATTGTGTCACTAGCTACGTCACGGCATTGTGTCACTAGCTACGTCACGGCATTGTGTCACTAGCTACGTCACCACCTGTCCTCTACGAAGTCTTCCCTCTCCAAGACGGCCATGTGCCAAACGGCCCGTCGCTCTGCCGTGCTTGTGAGTAACTCCCCTTCAGTAAATCTTATGGAGTTGTACAAAGTGTGGCTCTTGAGATGACGCTTGTTACGAACCCGAATCCAGCGTCCGAGCACGGAGCAGTGACGACCGCGCCATCTGTGGGTCAGCTCCCGAAACCCCCACCAAATGGGCGACGCCACCTGGTGAGGACGAAGTGTACTGGTCACAAGGGCCAGTTTCCAGTCCTGTTCAGCACATAACACAGCCGTTGCTGACCTCTGGTGAGGTGGTGCTCAGACGACAGCGCCATCTATGGAGTGGATAGGTGGGCGTTTGTGTCTGAGCCTGTAAGTGAGGTGCTTGAGTGAGTACCTGTTATTGATGACGTGTCTGCTTACAGAGTCGACCTGGGACTGCTGTGATGGAAGTTGAGTCAGTTTACCCAAGGCAGCCGTCCCCATACCTTGTGCTTTGCTGCAGCAGCTGTGAGTCGACTCCCGGAGGAACACTGTGGTGTTACCCTGCCAGTGGAGTGGCAGTTGAAAGATTTGTCGTACCCGGAGACGATTGACCACTGGGGTATTGAGGACAGGAGAGTGATTTGTGGTATCACACGAGGCTCCTGACTAGGGCGCTACCCTAGTATCGCTCGTGGAGTGGCCTGAACAGCGTTGCTGATCCGGAACCTGCCAGCAGTTTGCTGGACTTGTGGTTGACGGCCTCCACGGCGGTGCCCCCAGTGGGACTGTGTTTTGGCTGGCCTGTGTCAGGGGTAGACTCAGCTTGATCGAAGGATTCGTCAAGAGATCACGAAAGCACCGAGAGCTTGGATCCAGAGTCTTCAGGAGAAGACGATTGTGTAATTAATTCCCCTGTGTAGTGTTAATACCCCTCCCCCTGTGTACTCTTTTTATATATTATTTATTGGTGATGGAAACAATTATAATCTTAAGTTCTTAACTTTATTTCCCTTCCCCTTTAAGTTGCTTGCGTCACGGATCTCATCCCTTGAAAGCCACTACTGGCTTGGGGCCGGATACAACTGTCTCTAATAACATCAGAGTACGAACTCAGTTGCGACCCGAGAGGGCCGTAACAACGCTACAGCTGCACGCACCTGTGAAGTCAGTCCCTCAGGTGCTCCTCTTCCGATGGCAGCTGCTCTAGCTCTTGGACCAGACCGTCTTACTAGGCTGAGTTCGGTCGAAAGCTATAAGCTGGAGCCGTCTGAGGCGGAGCGCGCGCTCTCTTGACGTCTGGGCGTCAGAGTGACGAATACCGACCAATCCCGAGGCGGGCTTGATGACGCGCGATCTCTCAGCTCTCCTCCCATTGGTCCACCTCGGTCACGTGACCTGAAAGCGCTTGGACTAACCAGAGGTGTAAGTGTGTGTGTGTGTTCACATTGACTCGCGCGCAGCTGAAAACATTGAGCTCCTCTCAATAGGGCTCCGGGGCTCAGCGACCTCACGGCCCGGTCGTCGACCAGGCCTCCTCCCACGGTGATAACCCAGACACGTGGCTTCACCAGAGCAGGTATAAACACCTCCGACATCTTCCTAAAAGCCACATATAAGGTGAACATTCTTTATTTTTAGCAAGTTGGAGAGTGTTCTTAAGTCCAGCCATGCACAGACGGCGGTATTCACAGGTGTTATTGCTACTAATCAATATATATATGTTGATGAGTGTTTGTTGGGTGCTTGAAGCAAAGTGATCAACAGATATGATGATATATGTTGATTAGCTTGCCCAGCATCCAGCTCCAATACCCAGTCATTACAGCCGGATAAAGACTTGTTAATCTTTAGCTAAGTTCTCTGAAGGTCATTTTGGGAGAAGAAAATGTTCTTCCGGGTCACTGCAGTTCAGTACCCAGTACTCAGTGTACCGGGTACCAGTGTACCAGTGTAGTGTACCGGGTACCAGTGTACCAGTGTACCGGGAGACGATCGCAGTTTGTACCATCTCTATACAACCCGTCCACCTGATAGAACGTCGCATTTTGACGTACACGCTACCAAAGGCCCAAAAATGGTAGCTGCTCGAGAAATTGACACCCACTGTCTCCGTTTTCTGTTTTGGGGCCTCTGGTACGTTAGGATAAGGGCACTTTAGTAAGATAGTTTTTTGACGTTGAGAAATCTTTCGGAGAACAAGCTGCTCCATATATGTATTACCACATTTAGAGGAAGGGTTAAAATATGATTTTCATTTGAAAATGTAGTTATATATAATGTTAAATTAGTTATGATCTAGAACATCTAGTAACTAACATGTTAGTTACTAAATCAGGAAGGAAGGAATTGTCAGGGGGGAAAGCGCCAAGCCATTTCGACTATATAGCACAGGCAAGGGATCAGAATCCCATTTGGGATGGGACGGGGGGAAGGAATGGTGCCCAACTACTTTGGATCAGAAAAAAACTGTTATTTCCTTTAGTTTAATAATCTTCAAATAAGATTTTGATATGTTTTGATTAATTCCAATTATATTGTAAACCTTATTGACATCTAGTGG